TAAGTATTTGTGTGCACTAGTTTTATTTTTAATACTACAAGTACATTTTCCTGATTATACTCTTTACATTGATTTTACTTGCTGAATTTGTATTTTTTATTAAGTTAAATATCTAAAGGTATTTAAAAAATAAATAAATAAAACCCTCCAACACAGTGTAAAATATACAGGGTGGTCAGAAACTTGTAAATAACTCATGAAAGAATAAAGTTAAGTTGAAACCAAGCACATCATTGTTTTTCTTGTGACATTACCAATAAGTTTGATGTGTCACATGGCCTTATTCCTATTGAAAACACAAAAGTTGTATCCAAGATGGCCGACTTCTAAATGGCCACTATGGTCACCACCCATCTTGAGGAGTTTGCCCCCTCACATATACTAATGTGCCACAAACAGGACTTTAATATCACCAACCATTCCCATGTTATTACTGTGTATCCATATAAATGTCCCACCCTGTAGTTACCGTTGCATATCGCTTTCAACATAACACAAGTTGTTCCCAATGCTTCTCTTTTTCTCTCATGACTCTCATGTACATGTTTAAACCTGTTAGAATTTTACCATAGGAAATAACTGTGTGCAGTCACCTTATAAAAATGGGATTATATTGTTTCAGCTGAACCTGCATCAGCTTGTGCTCCTTTTGCAACAAAGAATGACAAGGTGGGCCAAGAGAAGGAAACTGCGACCCAAGTTTCGTCATCGCCACAAAGATCTCCCACAACAGGAGAAACCAACATCAGCAGAACTGCCCAAGAGATGGAACCCCCACCACAGAAAAAGGCAAAGAGAGGAGATGAGGATGAGGAGCAAGAGGAGGGAGAGATCACAGACAGTAGTGATGAAGACGATAAAAATATCCCATGTGATAAAAGCTGCGACGATGCCAAAGATCCCAATAATGACACGAAAGTGACTAAAGATGAAGTGCAGTAGAAGTCGGTGGTGGACAGTGTTGTTATTATTAATGAACACAGTGACAGCAGCAGGGATCAGTGAATGATGAGGTGATTACTGAAGAACGTGCGAAGGTCAGCATGACTAAGTAGGGGGCTCTTAAAGAGCCAATGGCTATTCTCATATCCCTGCCTGTGGAGATGAAAATGAGTATATGTAAAATAATGTGTTATTATAATAATAATAATAATAATAATCTCCATTAATGACCTGTAAATGTCACATTATAGCAGAGTGTTTTGATTGGTGCGCGTAGTGGGTGGATACCT